GACAACTAGCTGAGCGACTGCAACGAGTATCCTAAAGCTAAGGAGAAGGGAAAGGAAGAAAAGAAAAGAAGAGAAAGTTGCAGAAAGAAACACGAGCTTTTGAGCGGAGCTCCGGAGCTGGTGTGGGTCCTGGTCGAGAGCGGAGCCGAGACCCACACGGGCCCAGCCCGTTACAGCGGCGTAGTGTAATTGGCGACGTTGTGGACGCCATTACGACACAATATTTCAAGCAGCAAGGGTAGGTGCGCTGATGCGTTTTGGACACCCAGAGGCCGATATATCAGCCATCGAACAGTTCATATTGTAAGCGTCCCGCTCATGAACATCAGGGACTGTGGGCAAACGGCGGTACAACTGGAGGAAACGACCCAGGGGTCCAACTTGCCTGGCGTATTCTGCCGACATCCACATAATGGAGACGGCAAGCCAAGACCAGCGCGAATCGCTTCTTTCGAGATCGTACATGCACCGGAGTAGACCTTTGAGTTGGATTCTGCGGCCCATCCAGAACCCAAATTGGGCATTGTCCCGCGTGGGGCGCGATTGACGACAACCACAGAAGTAGTGAGTACCCCAGAGTAGTACCCCGCTCTAAATCCAGGAGGGGCAGCCCCGCAGCTAGTGGTTCCTCCAATTCCCAGTGGCTGCTCACCGGCTGGACCGTGGCCCGCGAGAGGACTGCGCGTATGATTTGGGCCTCCCGGGCGGCGCCAACAGCTGCGGGCCGCGGCGACGTCCTGGGCGGACACCGACCCGCCGCCGCAGCCGTCGCGACGACGGAATCCGAGGAGCGCAAGCTGCTCGTCGTGTCCGAGCTGGAGAACAAGTGCAGGCGCATGGAACTGTTCGCAAATAGCCAGGAGGTCGCCATCCAGGCGCGCCTTGTCGACTTAAAGAACGACGCGGGACAGGAGGCACGGCCGCAACGGTGCGGCGACGCCGCCAAGGTGGTGAGCATGCGCGTCGAAGTGTCCTTGGCAGAGGACCCGGAGGAGGTGGCAGATGCGGCGGTGACAACGCATCTATCCAGCATGCAGAGCATCTGCCGCTGGTGCGACCAGGTGGCGTCCGAGGTGAGTTGCAATACGTCTTGCAGACGGAAAGGCAATGTTGGAATGGGGGTAGCCCCGCCGGTCCAATGACGACACACCACTCATCTCTCTTCCTGTCTCCCTCTGCGAGTGTCTGCGGGGCGCCTGTGCAAAAGCCACCCGCGCCCGTCTTCGTTAAGCGCTGACAGATTGAACGACAAAAAATACAGGGCTGCGAGAACTACCCCTTTGTGCAATGCGCCAAAGCTGTTAAGGCCATCCCTCAAGCGATCTCGTGGCAGGGATTGAGCATCTCCGACGGATATAGCGGCGTATAATTGACTGACGACCGGGCAGAAGGTTCCCAGTGAACTTAGGCAACAAAAGACTCTTGATTCTTCTATCTAATGATTGACCTTACTGTACTGTAGTCGGTGATTTATACAGTACTGGTGCCGATTGAGGCAGGCATCTGAGACATGGGAGGCAGAAGCTCGGTTGCCTGAAGCTATCGCCACCGATGGCAGGCAGCAGTGCTGTTAACGTCCTACGTGAATGAGCGGCTTGATATTATCGACACGTGCGCGACGGACTACCAGAACATGACCTAGCAACGGGGGAGGACGGAAAAACACCAACTTTGCAGTACTAGTTAGTAGTGGTGGTAGTGTAACGACCCGCGCCCTGCGCAAGCCAGCTTCACACCTTGGTCCAGGAGTATAAGGATTGAAGAAACCTGTTTGCGAGAGGTGGCGATACTGTAGTTAGCTTCGAGTTGTCTCATTGGGAGGCCAGCTACTGCCTGGACCTTTTCGCCTCATTCATGCTCCCCTGACACCAAGGCACCAAAGGCGCGCGGACTCAAACGCAGCTCAGGTGAGCATGCTCACTGGCCAACGCATGTGGAACGACGGATTTCCTACAACACAAAGTAACGACAACATGCAAGGACACCGGCTGCTATTGTACCGCGAAAGAGACAATGAAAGCTAGACAAACAAAGACGGCCTTGGTAGCGAACACGTAGCCAACGGGGCTGTGGACTCAGACTAGCTGACAGTCTTCGTCCTTGGGCGAGATGCGGAGGTTGTCGTCGCCGCGGGTGCGTGTATGCCGGTGACGTGCACGCCGCCGTCAACTTCCGTGGATAACAACACGAAGTGAAGATGGTATGCCAAATGAGGCTAGGCTCTTTCTGCGACACATTCTTCCGTTTGTTGACGGTGTAATATCCAGACATAGGGAGAACGTGTCGGGCACGCTCTCTGGTGCTGTCTGTGGCTCTACCGATCGACGACCAAGAAGCGCCGCAGTGCTGCTCTATACATGAAGTGTGGGCCAGCAGTTTTGCTGGCGGCGTAGTGGTTAGCTGGCAGTAGGCGATCCGTGGTCATTCTGTGGCGCTGTTAGGCTTCAAGCTCCAGATACCAATGGCGGGCCAAGACGTACTGAAGGGACCTTGCCCCGGGAAAAGGCGCTGACCATGCCGTAGATTTGGACCTTCCGATTGATGTCGGCCTCCTTCTGCTTGATGTCGGTGGGTTTGTTGACGGTCGCAGCCATGCTGTCTGTCGCTTTTATTATTTTTCCTTTCTTTATTATTAACTTCCAATTGCGAAATCCAGCAGATCGGGTGAGCACCTTGCCTGGGAGAGGGACGAGTGCCAACGGTCGGGCAAACGGGAAAAGTGTTGAGGGTGAGAGAAGCGAGACCAGTGGCAAGCTCTGTCTCTGGGGTATCACAAAGTAGTAAGGTTGAGTTTTGGTGGTATCACGATGTTATTTTGTTGGTGGGGTATAAAGGTGCGGGCCATAATTCGAAGGCAAGTGGAGGGTTAGGAGAAGGGAAGGTGAGGGCGCTCGCGATGGCAGGGAAGGGATTTATAGGCATTGACGACCCTGGAGGAGTGGAAAAGGGCGCGCATTGAGGCAGGCAATTGCTAGCAGGTAGGAAGTATTTGTGCTCGCAGGAGCTGTTTGGCAATCGGGACCTGACGCGGCAGCATGAACGAAGCATGTAAGGCCCGTCCACCAGGACTCAGCCGAAGTCATGATTTGTCAAGCACACCACCCGCCGCCTAACGTGGCGCAGCCTCGATGTGAGCACCTGTGGTAGGGTGGGAGCTGCAGAGGGGTGGGATGGTCAGTTGGCGCCGGTACAGGCCAGCCAGATCGAGTGGCCGAAAGCCCTGCTGCTCGGTTGTGCCTACTTACGGGGGCAGGCGCAGCGAACAGTGCAGTGTTGGAAAGCCGTCCTAGCGGTGGTCAGCAGTGAGCACGTGGCGCCGTGCCTGTCATAGTTTGCCACAGGGCTTGGGAAGGTCGACGACCCATTTCGACTGCTGGTTCTGTATACGTAGCATACTCTCAATCGATGTCTAATCAGCTCATGTACCTAAACGCCGTGTTGGACTGAGGGGGGCTCCAAGAGCGGGACGCTTGGCGGTCCAATGCAAGCCTGAGCGCGTGAGAGTGATTGGCATTGTTTAGCTTCGTGGTATCAGTGCCGGACTATGACAGTAACATTAATACTCTCTAGAGTTGTCGCCAGGTTTGCGCCGTGGACGAGGTTGTGGCTCCAGTCAAGGTGTTAGCGATGCGTTCGGGGTGAGGAGGTTCCTCCAAACTGGGACCCATGTTGTCGGGTTCAGGGCACATGTCGTGGATTGTCGCCACGCCGTGTTGACTCCGTCGTGCCGCTCGATTGGAGCCTTGACTTGACTGGGGACTCTCGCGGCCCAGCTGCAGCAAGCGAGGTCACTCCTTCCTTTTTAGGGCGGGCAAATGCTCGGCCCTAGTTGCTACGGTACCCTCGCAGCTGCCTGGCTGATCACTTCGCCGCACGAAAACTTTCCGTCTTCCTGACCTTCTGAGCCCGTTTCGTGCCCGTGTACCGAGGTGCTACGTTACCTGACCTGACAGGGTGCTGGCTTTGCCTGACGTCGCCGCTGCCCCTCGCTGCCCCTCATCGCCGCCAATTTATGTTGGCATTACGCCAATCTTGCGCTCGCCCTTGCAACGCGGCCTAAGAAAAAAAAACTACTTCTGTCCTGCTCCTCCAAGTACAACTTCGGTGCAAATCTTTGCTGCTGCCTCGTCCAGTGTCCTCGAGAATCTGCGCACCCGACAAACACTGCCGGGCACCCCACGCACGCACCAGCTTTCCGCAGCTGAAAGCAACACGTCGCATCCTCGAGGTGGAGACGCATGCCATCGAAACTCAAGCCGTCCGCCATCGTACGCCCAAGGATTACCACGCTGCGCCTGACTTTTGTCTCCAGACACCTCGAGCGTCTCTCGACTTCCTCCCCCGAGCTTCCGGAATCGCACTCTTTACCGAGCACTCAATCAGCAGAGACAAAAAGAAAGAAAGGCAGCTTCGCAAACTCCCATGACCGCCGCCGCCGCCATGCCTGGGGCCGTCGACAACGCGCGGGCCCCGCCGGGCCGCCTGCTGCTCCTCTCCAACCGCCTTCCCATCACCATCAAGCGCGACGACGATGGCAGCTACACCTTTTCCATGTCCTCGGGCGGCCTCGTCACCGGCCTCAGCGGCCTGAGCAAGACGACGAGCTTCCAGTGGTACGGCTGGCCCGGCCTCGAGGTCCCCGAGAACGAGGTCAACCACATGAAGAAGCGCCTCAAGGACGAGTACGGCGCCCACCCCGTCTTCATTGACGACGAGCGCGCTGACCGCCACTACAACGGCTTCTCGAGTACGTCTACCTCCCCGGCACTCTTTCCGTTCCATCCCCGCTGACCTTGTGCGCAGACTCCATCCTGTGGCCCCTCTTCCACTACCACCCCGGCGAAATCACATTCGACGAGTCCGCTTGGATCGCCTACCAAGAGGTCAACCGCCTCTTCGCCAAGACCGTCATCAAGGACGTCCAGGACGGCGACCTCATCTGGGTCCACGACTACCACCTCATGCTGCTCCCGCAGATGCTGCGCGAGGAGATTGGCGACTCCAAGAAGAACGTCAAGATTGGCTTCTTCCTCCACACGCCCTTCCCCAGCAGCGAAATCTACCGAATCCTGCCCGTCCGCAAGGAGCTCCTCGCCGGCCTGCTCGACTGCGACCTGATTGGCTTCCACACCTTTGACTATGCGCGACACTTTCTGAGCAGTTGCTCGCGCATCCTGGGAAGCTCCACCACGCCCAACGGCGTCGACTGGAACGGGCGCTTCATTAACATCGGCGCGTTCCCCATCGGCATCGACCCCGACAAGTTTGTCGAGGGGCTCAAGAAGCCCAAGGTGCAGGAGCGGATCGCGGCCCTCAGCCGCAAGTTTGAGGGCGTCAAGCTGATAGTCGGCGTCGACCGCCTCGACTACATCAAGGGCGTCCCGCAGAAGCTGCACGCGCTCGAGGTCTTCTTCACCGAGCACCCGGAGTGGATCGGCAAGATTGTCCTCGTCCAGGTCGCCGTGCCCTCGCGGCAAGACGTCGAAGAGTACCAGAACCTGCGCGCCGTCGTTAACGAGCTCGTCGGGCGCATCAACGGCAAGTTTGGCACGATCGAGTTCATGCCCATCCACTTCCTGCACCAGTCGGTCAGCTTCGACGAGCTCACAGCCCTGTACGCCGTCTCGGACGTGTGCCTTGTGTCGTCGACGCGCGACGGCATGAACCTCGTCTCGTACGAGTACATCGCCACGCAGCAGGACAACCACGGCGTCATGATCCTCAGCGAGTTCACCGGCGCCGCCCAATCCCTCAACGGCAGCCTCATCGTCAACCCCTGGAACACGGAGGAGCTCGCCAACGCCATCCACGACGCCGTCACCAAGAGCCCCGAGCAGCGCGCCGCAAACTACCGCAAGCTGCAGCGCTACGTCTTCAAGTACACGAGCGCCTGGTGGGGCGCCAGCTTCGTCAGCGAAATGGTCCGCCTCAGCGCCGACAGCGCCAAGCCCAAGACGCTGCGCAACGTGTCGGGCGCCGTCGTCGGTGCCGCCGCGCAAAAGATTCAGCAGGCGGCCGACGCCGTCGAAAAGGCCGTCGTTGGCGACACAAAGGACGACGACAAGTCTGTGCCCCCGACATGAGCCGTTCACCTCCATCTCCATCCATCCACCGGTCGGATGACTCTCCTTGCTTTGACGCGAATACGTATGGCATAGCACGATGGGCCATCCGCTCCTTCACAAAAAGACTTACAGACCACGTATTCCCCAGAACCACAAAAAGACAAAGAACCGACGGGGGAAGTACGCGGCTATTCGTTCGTCGAAGCGGTTTCAGTCGATGGTCATGAGGAAGGATTGCTGGCTGCTGTTAACGTGCGTTATCAGCGAGTGGACCATATCAGCGAGTGGACCACTTTTCACCACAGCACGCGCAAGATGTTCAATTAACCACCACGAAATGAAACAACTACGATAATTACATTAGAAATGGATTATTTAGACCCTCCAGTAGCATTCTGACAGGTTCGTACGTTATGACCAATG